AAGAGGAATGGCTTCACATTCATCACTGAAAAGAACATTTCAAGATCTAGTGTGAGGTATAATGCTGTCTGTGATAGGAAAATATCCATATGCCTACTTAAGAACAACAAAAAGGGAGTCCACAGTTAATACCACTATTATTAAAATTTATGAACCAATAAAGCTGGTGATGATGAAACTGAAGAAGTCTAGCAACTTCTACAGTTTGAGACTGATCAAACATGCAATTAAGATGTTTTGATAATCACTGGTGATTGGAATGCAAAGAGGAAGGACAAACTATAGACAACATTGTGGAGAATGAGGTTTCCACAACCTTAATTGTGCTCCTGAGGAACCTGTACAAATACTAAGAGGCAGTCATTTGAATAGTATAGAGGGACACTGATTGGTGTAAAGTATGGAAAGGTGTGTGCCTGGGTTGTATTCTTTCACCATACTTACTCAATCTGTATGCTGAGCAAACAATCTGAGAAGATGGACTATATGAAGAAGATCATGGAATCAGGATTGGAGGAAAACTCATTAACAATCTGCGATATGCAGATAATACAACCTTGCTTGTTCAAAGTGAAGATGACTTAAAATACTTACGATTAAGATCAAAGGCCATAGCTTTCAGTATAGTTTGCACCTCAAGGTAAAGAAAACAAAAATATCTGCCACTGGACCAATAAATAACATCATTTTAATGGAGAAAAGGTTTAAGTTGTCAAAGACTTCATTCTGCTTGGATCTACTATCAACACTATCGGAAGCAGCAGTCAAGAAATCAGATAATGCATTGCATTAGGCAAATCTGTTGCACAATATCTTTTTAAAGTGTTCAAGAGCAAAGATGTCAGTTTGAAGACTAAGTGTATCTGACACAAACTATGATACTTTCAATAGCCTCATGTCATTGTTGTTAAATGCCACCGAGTCAGTTCTGACCACTCTGTATAGGGTTTCTGAGCAGCGGCTTGTGAGCTTGAACCACTAACCTTGCAGTTCAAACCAACTTTGCCACTCACAGCATCACACCAGGAGTCCTCATATGCAAGTGAAAGTAGGACAATGACTAAGGGAGACCATAGAAGAATTGATGCCTTTGAGTTATGGTGTTGGAGAAGAATATTGAAAGTAGCCTGGACTGCTAGAAGAACAAACAAATCTGTGTTGGAAGAAATAAAGAATGCTCCTTAGAATCCAGGATGGCCAGACTTCGACTCTCACACTTTGGACATATTATGAGGAGCAACTAATCCCTGGAGAAGGATATACTGCTAGGTAAAGTAGAGGGTCAGTGCAAATGAGGAAGACCCCATTGAGATGGGCAACAGCAATGGGCTCAAGCTTAACAATTTTAAGGATGGCACTGAACAGCATGTGTTCTGTTGTGTATAAAGTGTCATCGTGAGTCTTAACCAACTTAACAGCACTTCACAACAATGTTATTTACTTCAACACAATCACAGCAGGTTAAATGATTTAGAATCTTGTACCTTTTGTGAATAGCTTTTCGTTTGGTCTGATATTACGAGCTTTGCTTACTAATTTTTAAATGTTCTACTGATTGTATTTACCAGGCAATGCAGCTCCAAGCCTTACTTTGGTGTTTGATGAGTGCCGTTGAGTCGGCTCCGACCCATAGAGACCCTGTACAGGGTTTCCAAGGCTGTAAATCTTTACGGGAGCAGAAAGCCTCATCTTTGTTCTGCTGAGTGGCTGGTAGTTTCGAACTGCTGACCTTGCGGTTCACAGCCCGATCCGTAACCACTATGCTACCAGAGCTCACACTTCTTTTTACAAAACCTAAATGGAGATGTTAAAGCAAATGGAAGAAACGAGGCGGTACAAGAGCTGAACAGAAAATTTCAAAAGTCAGCTCAAGAAGACAAAGTCAAATATTACAAGAAATGTGCAAAGATCTGGAGTCAAAAAACTGAAAGGGAAGAACACGCTCAGCATTTCTCAAGCTGGGGGAACTGGAGAAAAAATTCAAGCCTCGACTTACGTTATTCAAGGATTCTCTGGGACAATTATTGAATGATGCAGAAAGTATCAAGAGAAGATGAAGAAATATACAGAGTCACTGTACCAAATGGAAATGATTGATGTTCAACTGTTTCAAGAGGTAGCATTTGATCAAGAGCTAATGATACTGAAGGAAGAAGTCCAAGGTGCATTGAAGGAATTGGCAAAGACCAAGGCACCAGGAATTGATGGAATAAAAATTAAAATCTTTCAAGTGAGTGAGATGGTACTGAAGGCACTTATTTATCTGTGCCAAGAAATTTGGAAGACAATTATCTGGCTGACTGACTGGAAGAGATCCGTATTTGTACCCATTCCGAAGAGAGGTGATCCAAGGGAATGTGGAAATCATCAAACAATATCTTTGATATCCCATGCAAGTAAAGTTTTACTAAAGGTCATACAGAAACGGCTATAAGCATACATTGATAGAGAACTTCCAGAAATTCAAGCCAGATTCAGAAGAAGACGTGAAACAACGGACATCATCGCTGATGTACAATGGATTTTAGCTGAAAGCAGAGAATATCAGAAAGATGTTTACCTGTGCTTTATTGACTATGCAAAGGCTTTTGATTGTGTGGCTCATGACAAGCTATGGACAACATTGCGAAGTATGAATATTCCGGAACACTTAAATTATGCTTATGAGGAATCTGTACCTGGATCAAGAGGTAGCTGTTTGAACAGAACATGGGAACAATGAATGGTTTAAAATTAAGAAAGATGTGAGACAGGGTTGTATTCTTTTACCATACTTATTCAACCTGTATGCTGAGCAAATAATCTGAGAAGCTGAGTTATATGAAGAAAAACATGGCATCAGGATTGGAGGACGACTCATTACCAACCTGTGATATGCAGATGATACAATCTCGCTTGCTGAAAGCAAAGAGGACTTAAAGCATTTACTGATGAAGATCAAAGAGCACAGCCTTTGGTATGGATTGCATCTCAATGTAAAGAAAACAAAAATCCTCTCCACTGGACCAATAAATAACATTCTTATCAATGGAGAAAAGATTGAAGTTGTCAAGGACTTCATTCTTCTTGGATCAACCATCAACACTCATGGAAGCAGCAGTCAAGAAATCAAACGACATATTGCATTAGGTATTTCTGCTGCACAAGACCTTAAAGTGTTGAAGAGCAAAGATATCAGCTTGAAGACTAAGATGCGCCTCATATACATGTGAAAGCTGGACAATGAATAAGGAAGACTGTAGAAGAATTGATGCTTTTGAGTTATGGTGTTGGAGGAGAACATTCAAAGTGCTATGAGCTGCCAAAAAACCAAGAGATCTGTGTTGGAAGAAGTGAAGCTAGAGTGCTCCTTGGAGGCCAGGATGGCCAAATTTCGTCTCATATTTCAGACATTTTGTCAAGAGGCACCAGTCACTGGAGAAGTATATCATGTTTGGTAAGGTGGAGGGTCAGAGAAAAAGAAGAAGACCCCCAGAGAGATGGACTGGCAAAGTGGCAGCATCAATGGTTTCAAGCATGGCAACAATTGTGAGGTTGACCCAGGACTAGGCAGTGTTTCCTTCTGTTGGGCATAAGGTCATTATGAGTCGGTACCAACTCCATGGCACCTCACAACAACAACAACAACACTTCATTTCTCAGAGGCCTTCATTAAGGACTAGTCAATCACCCCATGAGTCATGTCTAAATCTTACATAATATAGTGAGTGCCTGAAGTAACCATTGTGAACACGAGGATAAAAGAATGCCACGTACAGATTGACATGCAGTGGTGGTGCAGCTTGTTCCTGCAGCCGTCTTCACACACTGTTAGACTTTCTTCATCAAGCATGCCCAGCAAGCAAATAGGACACATCTGCTCCTCTTCATCTTTTATACTATTGAAGGAAAAGGGAAAGTATGAAATACACAATAACAACACTACAAGACTAGATACCGTATGCTGAAAACAATTTCTGCTTTTTTTTTTATAATATGAATAAAGTAACCAGAAATTCTTAAGAGGATTTTATTTCAGCTGCACGTCTTTCTTTTATCAATATCCAATCATTTAAAATGAGATCAATATGCTTGTGTATTTATAGATTGAATACAATTCAATAATGAGTTATGACCTCATAGACATTACATGGCATCTCAAAAATATTGCTATTGCTAATTGCCTCCATGAACAACTGCTTCCTTTGCCATGAGACCAGAAGAACTGGATCATTCCCAGCTATCATTACAGAACAGTTTCAAAGATGCCACAGAAAAACCCCGATCAGAAGGGAGAATATGTAGAGTAGGATTTCAGATGATCATGGACTCTAGCATTTTGGAAGCCTTAGAAGGTGGATGAATCCATGAAATTATTGCCCTGAGATAGTATTTATGAATGAGGTTATATCTTATGTTGTATTTAATTTAATTTACTTTATGTTGTTAGATTATCTGATTGGTAAACATTTAATAGAAAGTTTGTCAGTGCCATCTGACATTCATAATGGCCTAGGAAAACCAGTTCTCATAGTTATTGCTAGGAATAGACATTAAAATTTTAGAAGGAAATTTGTTAGTTTAAACAATATTAAATATTAGCGCCATCAACCAAACATTCTATTTTCTAGGATGCTATCCTAAAGAAATATCTGAAAAAAAGAGAAAGAACATGTATTGCATTTAACAAGCACACAACTAAATTAGAGATGTACTAAATACTAATGAAAGGCAAGTACAAAATAAACTGTCGTGCATCCATACCATTATATAGTCATGAAAAGAAAGATATCTGTCTTTTGTTTTATATCTTTCATGTATTTTATGTTGACTTTGAAAAATATTCTCGATACATTAAGAAAAAACAAAACAAAACAAAAAACTAGCAAGCTGCAGACCAGATCACGGAACGACTCTTGTTTGAAAATGACAAGAATGACATGAAGTGAGAAATAATGGTGTCTGTGTGTATGAAAGAAAAGTTTTATCTCATTGCTTTATAGAATTTTTTTAAAAGCATCAAACTATTAACAGTAGTTATCTTGTGTGTAGCCAGACCAGAGGGGGCTTTCTTGCTCTCTCTCTCTTTTTTTTTTTTTTAATAAAATGTTTTGTTTGAACTCATGAAGTCTTTTGCAGTATTTCCATTAAGGTATAAAGACAAGGCCCTGAGATGTTCAATAACTTGTCTAAGATCATAAAATCAGTCTGTGGCAGACTTATCATTAGACTTTAATATTTGAGAGGACTACATCATAACCTACCTACCTCAAAGTCCAGATTCTCTGCCAAGCTCAGGTTTTCTATTGGGTCCAACACTGCACTCCTACTATCTTAAGCTATCATCCCTGAAAAACAGGCCTGAATACTGCCAGCAAAATAACCAGTTCTTCAAGTGCACAAAGCACTCTCCAAAAGAGCTGACCAAACAGTTCAGCACAGTCATAATGTGTGAGTCTTGAGGTAAAGGTACCCTTACTAGTGTCCCTCTCCCATCTCATCTGCCCTATCTCTTTTCACTATTACAGAACCACCTGCAGTAGGGAAAAGCTGTCAAAATATACATCAATGGGGAATAACAGTAACATTACAGAAATGACTACACAATACTCTGTAATAAAAGTATTGCTGGTAAAAATGCTCAGATTTTTAGTGGTTACCAGAAGTGGGAACGTAGGGGATACGAGGAGTTTGGGCGAGGGGGCACTGAGTTCCTGTTAATGGTGGAAAGGGTTACTGAGAATGATTGCAAAGATGAAGAAGTGAGTCAATGTCACTGAATCACTCATGTAGAAATTGCTGTATGCTTTTTGTTTCATATATTTTCAACATTATAAATAAATAGAAAGATTTGGTGTCAACTAGCTTTCAAACAGTCATACCACAATTAGTTTACTGAAAAGACTGAAGAAAAAACAACTGACAATTTAGTTAAATTATATGTCAAGTGCAACTTATTAATTGCTTGCTGACTAAAAAAATGACATTCTAGGTTACTTCTGCCCATCTTTTTCCACGTACACATTTTAAAAGCATTAATTAGATTATTATCTATATCCTGGTGTGGTGCTGTGGGTTAATGCACTGGAGTACAAAGTTGTTTGAGCTGCAATGTTGGTGGTTCAAGTTCACCAGCTGCTCCTCAGAAACCTTATACAGGGTCGCTATAGGTAGTAAACAACTCAACATCACTTAACAACAACAACAACAAAGACATGCACAATTGTATACCCTTAAAATTTTTATAAAAATTCCACTTGTCAAATTCTTCATATACATAACTTGTAAAGGCAGCATAATTTCTACTGATTAGACAGATCCTAATTACTTAAGGAGTCCTTGTGTGACGCTTTGGGATAAAGTACTGTACCACAGTTCAGTTTGAACTGCAAAGCTGGTAGTTCAAACTCACCAGTCACTCCTAGGAAGCCCTTTACAGGGTTGCTGTGAGTCAGAACTGACTCAACGGCATTTAACAATAATAACAACTACTACTTAAACATCTATTTACAGTTTGATAGTTGAGCTGTTTCCATATTTAAGAAACTATTATAAACATCATTTGCCCACTTTTAAAATATTTCTTTTTTAATCACCGTTTTCAGGAGTAAAACATGAGTATATTGTTATTGTTACATGCCATCAAGTCGATTCTGACTCAGAGCAACCCTGTATAGGATTTTCGAGGAGCAGCTGGTGGGTTTGAACTGCTGGCCTTGTGATTAGCAGTCCAGGTCTTATCCTATAGTGCCAAACCAGGACTCTATGAGTACATGTTGTTGTCAAGTGCCTTTGAGTTGGGTATGACTCATGGAGACCCTGTATAAGGTTTCCAAGAAGTGGCTAGTGAGTTTGAACCACCAACCTCGTGGTTAGCAGTCAAGTGCTTACCCTACAACCCTAGCTATACCAGGACTCCACCTAAGCGCATTTAGTACAGGGATTAAAGCAAACCCAAATCTACTGTCTGTCAATGGGTCGATTCTGACTCATGGTAAACCTACATATGCTCTCCCACACTGTGCATCTTCCCGTTTCCTCAGAAGCAAATTGTTATGGGAGCAGATAACCTTATATTTCTCCCATAGAGCTGCTGCTGGTTTTGAACCGCCACCTTGCAGTTAGCAGTTCAACACCCACAACACCATCAGGGATCCTAGGGCAGGGATTAAAACAAAACAAACCCCACTGCCGTGGAGTCAATTCTGACTCAGAGTGACCTTGTATAGGGCGTCCTAGTCTGCAAATCGTTATGGGCACAGAAAACATCATCTTTCTCCCACAGAGCTGCTGATGGGTTTGAACTGCCAACCTTGTGGTTAGTAGTCTAGTGCTAACTACAAAAGGATCCAATAAACTTGCTGTTTGTTTTGCAAATACAATTTTACACCCATCAGTTACATGTTATCTATGGCTACTTTTAAGTGAGCAGAGCTGAGTTCTTGTGAAGGGTATGGCCTCCAAACTCAAAGTATTCAAAGTCTAAAAAACTCACCTGTGATAACACAAGCTAGTGATAACCATGACAATTTCTACTCCTTCTCATTTGTTATGCACCTACAATAATATATATATATATATATATATATATATATATATATATATACATATGTATATACATAATGGGGTTCAAGCATGATATAGAGTAATCCAGTACTTCTCAAACTGGGACGCATTGGGAATGTATCAGGAGGTGCTCTTGTAAGAGAAGCAGCACTTCTGTTCTAGAATGTCAACTGTTGTTGTTGTTGTGAAGTACTGTCAAGTCGGTTCCAACCCAAAGCAACCCTGTATAGAGTTTCCGAGAAGCGACTGGTAAGCTTGAACTGCCGACCTCGCAGTTCAAATGACTTTGCAGTCTAGCACATTAACCCACAGCGCCACAATGGTAATTAAAGACCTCCATATTTTATAGTCAAACCAATTAAACGATATTATGAGATAGAAAGAACGTTCATGGATTTTTTACGATAATCCTAAAGACTTGAAAAAATTTCCGTATCTGTAATTTTGGGCTATAGCTCTGATCCTTCAGAGTTATGAGTTGATTCTGATCAGTAATTGGGCAGTGGAAGAGATTGAGAAGCACTGTACATTCTAAGTAATAACTGTGATGAACAACTAATGCACCTCTTAATTACATCGATTAGTTCGTCTGTTTATTTAAGGGGAATGCTGAAACAGCAACAATGTCATACAGTATAAAATCCTACAGTGAAAAGTGATTTTAGAAAACTGCTTTGCTTTTGATAAATATAAAGAAACTATATAGGCATTACCTTCCATTACACAGTGCCTCAGCTTCTTTTAGTAACGATCGGAAAATTATAACCACTTACGACTATCAGGATTTTATCCTTGCCACTTGAGTTTTCTTATGAATTGGGATAAAAATAGACATTCATTATAGTCTCACATGAAACATATCATTTTCCAACACTGCAGTTTTCAGGACAAAACTGTCCATATTTATATTTTAACACTTTTTACCCTGAGCCCTGCTGTGGGGCTGTTAACCATTAGGTCAGCGGTTCAATCCCATTAGTTGTTGTTGTTGGTAAGTGCTGTTGAGTTGGTTCTGACCCATAGCGACGTTGTATAGGGTTTCCGAGGAGCAGCTGGTGAGCTTGAATGGCTGACCTTGCAGTTCAAACAGCTTTGCAGTCTGGTACATTAACCCACAGCACCACACCAGAAAACCCATCAGTAGCTCATCGGAAATCCTATACAGGGTGGCTACAAGTTGGAACCAACTCAATGGCAACTCAACAACAACAACAACCTTTGATTATAACTTGAAAGCCCAGATTCAATAATTAAATCATTGTTAGAATAACTTAACAGGTAGATACTTAAATGACATTTTTAAGTGATCACTATATTAAAAAGTAAAACTGGAATAATAATGTTTTCAATTCCTTAAAAAATACTAACCTGTTTTCTGAACTAGATGTAGAAGTACTAGATGATGACAATGTATGAGAATTTGACATGCGTGAAACAAACTTCTGGATGGTATTACGGGATGGAGCTTTGATCCTTGAGCTACGCCTACTGTGATATTTCTGGAACAAACTCTCAACCTAACATTGAAAAAAGACAGTAACAATGACATTTGTGCCAAATTTATACATATGAAAGCGTTCTAGAGGTTGAATTTATTTTGTAAGTTTTCCACAAAGCTTATTTATCTCCTTCAAAAAATAATAGTACTTACTAAGGACATTTTTATAGCAGGTCAGTGTTTGTTATTTTTGTTTTCATTGTAGAATAAAAAACCTACTAGTCAATAGATCATAAGGCAATTATTTATAACCATCAAATTCTCACATATCTTCATAATTTAAAAATGATCATTATTTATTTAAATTTAGTGCTCATGGGAATATTTCAGGAATAAACTATTTTAATTTTTTAGCAATTTAACACTGAACATTAGCAAAAAATTACCTCAAAATTCTTTAATGTTTTTCTCCATAACATTGGATCTGAAGGTTCTAGTTGAAACACCCGGAGCATAACAAATAACAGATGAATACAAAATGTTCCACGTCCACAGCTGCAATTCTAAAGAGTTAAAAGAAAGTCTATGGGTAAATAAATTTGTGGCTCTACTAGAACTTCTGTTAATCACATCTCCAAGTTTATGATACTAAATTTTCTATTAATTTATGTTCTTTACTATCACTGTATATAATGTTAAAAGTGTGTGGCTATATCTATGAATCAATCTCATATTTCCAATGAATTTATTAAACTGATTAATTTTATATTCACAAGTACATTAACTTATAGTTAGAACCTGCAGAAATACATTAAAAACAATTTTTATCACCCAACATACATTTTGAATTCACTGCAGTTTGTTATAGGGAATTAACCCAAGTTTTAGAATAAAAGAGTATAGAAATTTCAGTTAGTAGCAGATGTTCAACATAAAAACAAACAGACACAAAATCCTTAAACTAGACCAATAAGCCTCACCCTGGTAAAGAGAGAAAAGATGGAACTTGTTAAGGATTTTATTTTATTTGGAACCACAATCAATGCCCATGGAAGCAGCAGTCAAGAAATCAAACTACATACTCCATTGTGCAAATCTATTGCAAAAGACCTTTTTACATTGTTCAAAAGCAAAGATCTCACTTTGAGGAATAAGGTGTGCCTGATCCAAGCAATGGTATTTTATCACCTCTAAAATGTGAACGCTTTGAACAAAGAAGAATCGGTGCATCTGAATTGTGGTGTTGACAAAGAATACTGAATATCGCGATGAGTTGGACCCAATGGCACAGCACATAATCACCCCTAATAACCAGGAAAAAGATGAGGCTTTCTGCTCCCATGAAGACTTAAAGCCCCGGAAACCCTGCACAGACAGAGCCGCTATGAGTTGGAACCGACTTGATGGCACTTAACTACTACAACTAGTACCAGAAGAGTAGACAGTGATATATGGATTGATGGGGTGCTATTGGATAAGCTAACTGGATTGCTAACCACAAGGCTGGCAGTTCAAACCCACTGAGCTGCTCCTCAGAAAGCCTATCAGAGTCGCTATGAACTGGAGCTGACTCAACGGCACCTAACAACAACCAGAAGAACAAACAAATCGGTCTTGGAAGAAGTTTATACAGCCAGAATGCTCCTGAGAAGTGAGGATGGAGAACCTTACATCTCATGTGCTTTGGACATGTTATTAGGAGAAAGACATCTTGCTTGGGAAAGCATAGGGTTAGCAAAGAAGAGGAAGACATTCAGTAAAATGGACTGCCATAGTGGCTACCACAAGGGACCAAACTTAGTAAGGATTGTGAGGATGTCACAGGACCAGGCAGTGTTTACTTCGGCTCAACACAGGATCGCAATGTGTCAGAACCAACTTGAATGTACCAACCAGTAACAAGCAGCAGATATTTATAAAAGATAAGATGTCGGCAAACCCTACCTGAGGCCCAATAAACACCCGGTATTTATTGTCTGGGCTGTCTCCTCCGATCAAGAAAGAGTTGGGTCCTATTTGTTGCAGCAAGTACAGCCTGGCCCGCATTACTTTGTTTACACGGCGGTTTGTTTCTTCAGGGCTGTATGGCGAAAACCCATCTGGCGACGGGGCTCTTCGAGGTGGTGTGATTCTTCCGCTCTGAAACTTCACAACATTTTCTGTTTTTTAAATGAGGTAAATTTTTCACTTCTCACTAAGATACCTTTACATTCCCCACTGCCTCCGCCAAAAAATGAAAGGACACATGAGATAACTTTATGATAGCTTAAATTCCGAAGAAATGACTCAATATGTATAATAGCACAAAATTAGGCAGTGTTTTTGAGTGACATACTCATTTCAGGTGAAGGGAACTTTAAAAATCTGTCTTTGCTATAAAGTGATGGTAAATCTTTAAGAAGATACAACCATGTAGTAATTTAAAAAATTATTCTATATACATTTGAGTTCTTTGAAAAGTATTATGGAGACAAAAGTAAAAAGTTTAAAAAATATGTATCATAAGCAAGCAAAATGACTGTCTAGTGGCAAAAACTACACACCCAGTTCGTGGCTTCTACTTAAGGCTTTAATAAATATGCTTCCTGTAACTGGTAATTTAAAAACATGAACATGGAGCACCTCCCATGGTATACTTTGTAGAGAATTGACACACACAGATATATAGCTAGAAAAGGGAGTATTTAATGACCTTTTCAGATAATTATGAACATTCTACTTTATTATTATACTAAAGTTTCACAAGTGTAATGAGGAATCTGAAATCACATCAACTAACTTTTTCTATGCTATTACCAAATCCAAGTGGTATCTCTTGCTGTTTGAATACATGCATTTTTGTATTCTTGCAGATTTTGTATCATTAAGCACTGATTCAGTCTTGATGTGGCTTTGTAGGATAAGCATGAGACTGCTAACCAATGAGTTGGTGGTTCAAATCCAGCAGCCGCCCCTCAGAAATCTAAGGTAGAGTTGCTATGATTTGAAACTGATTTGATGGCACTTAACAACAACAATATACACTGAGATTCATTAAGCTATGTAGATCTTCCAAATGACACATTTCATGATACATTGCAAAAAAAAACAAAAGCCACACTTGATAATATTACCAATCTCATTAGAGAAATTTTGAATAAGGAAGCAAAAGTCACCAAATAAATAGTGGTGAATATGAATTTTCCAAAAAATGTAATTTGAACTTGAAATCTTAAGTTTTATCCCTGGAGAAAACTACTGCCAGCTGCTAGGCTTGATATGACAGTCTCACTGAATTCATTTTCTGGAGAACGTCTACTAAATAGCCAAGTTCCAATAACCAGTGTTTGCTAGTCAGTCATTGTTTCAGATAAAACCTTTGTTCTATGAAGAAGCAACTAGTTCACCTTGCACAAGTGCTTTTCCTTGAGATAATTATATTTGGCATGTACCAGCAGAATGCTCAAACTGACTTCTGTTCTTTAATAGTTAGTACATGGCAGTGAAGAATACAATTTCGAATGTCACAGCTCTGATTTGTGAGAAGGCACCAGAAGCTTTATCCACTTTTGCTTTGTACTATCAGTGCAAATATCAAAGCAGTGAAAAAGGCAAACAACATCTCTGCTTTATTACAAATACAGTTTGACCTAGTCAATCTCCAGAATGGCTTCTGGCCTCCTCCTCAACTCTGCGTGCGACCAGAGTTCTAGAATAGATAGCTGACCAATTTCTTATGCATTATAAGTGAGTCTAAAAATGGTAGAAATGTGACATATTTGTTGGAATGTAACTTACAGGAACTGGGGAGACTCTTTTTCTTCTTACTCCGGGAGATTCTGACTTTACTGTGCGAGCTGATGGGGTGCTGCCAGGAGAAGGGCTCCGGCGGCCTTTGGGAGCAGGTGACACGGCGCTGGCCTGGCCCTCTGCTTGAGGCTCAGCTGCCACGTTACTCATTTCAGACCCGTCTCCTTTAACAGGAATTGGCTTTACGACCTGCACCAAAAGTATTCCAATATTTTAATTACTTGAAAACACACATGAAAAATAAATTAGAACATACTACATTAGGAAATGAACTCAATGAGTTTTTATTATAAACAATTACAAAAATATACCAGATGACATATCAACTTTCATTTAGTATAACTTTACATCATTAATTTTTACCTACAACACTCAAGTTGTTTAGGCTGCATCACTAGTTAAAAATGTTAACACTCATAATTTTATAAACGGTATTACATCTTATAATACATCCTATCCCATTTCTCTTTCAAAACCAACAATCAGTGATTAATAAATAAATGTGAAAAATAAGCACTACTAACTTCTATAGGGAATATATTCAAATAGATAGATGTAGATGCTTTCTTTTATACCTGTACTGTACTTTAAAATGTAGACACCTTGCAAAAAACAGTGAGTTTAACTTTAAGTGCTCACATAGATTAATATGAAGCCATTTTACTTTGTTGTTTTCCTCAATATTGGATTATAATAGGTAGTGCAGACGTATATTTCAGAAATACCAAAAGAAGTTAAAAGTTTAAAGATAGATGTTTCGGTATAAATGCTGTTATTCAACTATTAGGGCTCTCCAATCTCATCTACCAGTGACCGAAAGGACAGACTTCGTGGTCTGAGTACAATCAAAGCTCAACACACTTCTCCACATCTTCCCACTACTCCTGCTCTGCAGCCGACTTGCTGCACTCTTCATAAGTTGCTTTGTGATATTTTATACATTTCTTTCATTTTACTTATTGCGCTTAAGTTCTTATTTTTCCAGAGCGATTTAAGTTTTAGAATGATTTGGCACAAGCATGATAAAAAACAAATATCAAACTTCTTAAGGAGACTATAAAAACTTCTGAAGTATAATTTGAACTCTATAAACTGCAAAATACCAGGTAGTGTTATGTGTCTTATTCCACGTATCTCTGCCTTCTTCATTCCTGTCCTATACACAGACTTAGATACCCATGTATTTGCAGAGTGAGTAAACTAGAAAGCCAACAGTGAAGATATCTAGCTCAAGGAGCCCAGAAAGCAGCACAAACGTCACATGGCTTTAATTGTTCAAAAAGTCATGTTTATAATGATTGACTAGAAATTTGCCTCTGTCACCTTCTATGACAGTATTTCAATAGAAACATTTCTTTCAAAATTAAAAGGTAGACTATTAACTCTAATAAAAAGATTTTCAATACTGACATTAGAGGGCAGTGTTGCTTTAAGTATTAACCCCATACCAACCACTACTCAGTTAGTTCATGTTTATGTTGTCTAACAAGCAGTGTTTTAGCCATGTTTTGATCCAAGTGGTGAGAATATCAAGCAAATAGAATTACTGTAAGTAAAATGGTGAAGAAATGCTTAAAAGAGGATCTAAGTCTTATACATAATTTTCCATTTGTTCCTAAGCCCTCTTCCTTACAGCCACTCACCACAGGGCCTCTCCTATTTCTCCTTTCCAGCCATTCATGCTTCCAGGCCGGCATACAGGTTGCCTTCAGTTTCTCCCTGATCATTCGTTCTTCTGGGCGATCATCCATTTTGTGCAACCCCTTCAGAGTTTCTTTATTCTCCATCTCTCGGCTAAAATGAAGGAAGAAACAAGGAGACATATTATATATATATATATATATATATATATATGTTGTTGTTGTTAAGTGCCGTCGAGTCGGGTCCGACCCATAGTGACCCTGTACAGGGTTTCCGAGGGTGTAAATCCTTACGCGGAGTGGCTGGTAGTTTCGAACCGCTGACCTTAAGGTTCGCAGCCCGATTCGTAACCACTACGCTACCAGAGTGTTGCTGTTAAGTGCCACTGAGTCGATTCTGACCCATAGTGACCCTGTATAGGCTTTCCAAAGAGTATCTGGTGAGCTTGAACCACCAACCTTGTAGTTCAAATGACTTTGCAGTCTGACACATTAGCCCACAGTGCCACACGAGAACTCCTTACATATATATATGTAAAACAATTTCCCAAAGTAGAATGCTTGTATTTTATCCTTCTATTACATACAGGAATCCTTGTGTGGCGCTGCGGGTTAATGGATTAGACTGCAAGGTTGGCAGTTCAAGCTTACAACCTCTCCTGGAAAACCCTATACAGGGTCTCTATGAATTGGAATGGACTCGACAGCACTTAACAACAACAATTAGACATATAACTAAAAAGAAAATTGCTTCAAAATACCCAAAAGTTCGAAACCCAAATGTCCATCAGCGAATGTACAGAAAAAGACAATGTGCATATCCACACAATGGAATACTATTTTCTCACAAAAAGCAGTAAAATTTCAGGGATGGATCCTGAAAATATCATGCTGAGTGAAATAAGTCCGACACAAAAGGACCAATATTCCACTTATATGAAATATCTAGACTAAGCAAACGTTCTGCAGATGCCATCAGCACCAGTCTGTCAATGAGGCCTGAGTGTTGCCTCCACAGGTGTCAGTGGCACTTCCAGACTAAGGTAGACCAGAGAGAAAGGCCTGGCCATCTACTTTCAAAAATCAGCCCATGAGAAACCTATGGTTTACATGGTTCAGGGAAGGGGGAAGGGAATGGAAGAACAAGACAGATAAGAGAACATTTAGGCAGATTTGTATGGGCTAAATAGGACAGAGGTAAATAGGGATGTATGCTCAACCTTGGAACAACAGGGCTCTGTGATACAGCGATTAAGGCATAGTCTGGATAGATAAAAGAGGGGAAATAATGTTAAGATGCTTAGCTGTCTTCTGGTTTTTTTTAATGTTTTATTGTGAATTATGTGATTGTTTACATGGGAGAACACTAGTTTTACATTCATCCTATTATATATCGTTTCATTGCCATGGTTACAATCCCCTCCATGCATCATCAACCAACCAAAGCGTATATACAACAAGCCTGTCCCCAGTTGCCAGCACACAGCCCCTCTCCCTCTCTGTGTCTAAGCCGCTCCATCTCTCCACGTCATCGTCTCTTTGGCTGTCTTTTGAATCTTGGTTTCTCTTGCTTACTATTATGAAATTGACACTTGAGGGGGCGAAAAAGGAATAGCCAGAAACATCATTATAGAAAGCTTGTTAATCTGTCTTCAGCCTATAACCAATGGTTGTTGTTGTTGTGAAGTGCCGTTGAGTTGGGTCCAACTCATAGCGACCCTGTATTAGGTTTCTGAGAAGCAGCTGGTGAGCTTGATTCACCGACCTTGCAGTTCAAACAGCTTTACAGTCTGGCGCGTTAACACACAGTGCCACACCAGGACTCCTATAACTGACTGGAATACCTAAAATGGAGGCTAGAACTTGCCCAGTGAAATAAGATTCCTGCAGAGCCTTTGCAGTATATAAGAACTTAAGTGGAATCCTGATCCCTACCCAGAATCTTCTGAGGTGGGAAATTTCCACCTGAAAAGACAAGCAGACCAGCCTGGAGCAGCTAGAAGAACAGAAGATACTTCTTGAAAGAATGACCAGCAGGAAAAATAAAACACAATAATAGCAGTCCAATCAACTACCACAAGAACAAGCAAGTTGTTCACTGAGAAGCCATCACATCAAGGCAAGTAATCAAGTTCCTTTAGGGCTAACCCCTTTCCAAGACTGAAACTCAAAGGGAATACACGAGCAGGCATGTAACCATGCTGGCTACCACGATGGTCTACCGATAAGGGGAAGTGGGGGAAAAGCATCAATGAAGATGTGGACTGAGTCCAACCATGTTCAACAGAGTCCCGTCAACCTGGAGTGAGACCTGGTTGGCCAGCAGTATGGTGAGACCTAGGGACTCCTGAGCCAATGGGCAGGGGCATAGCCACAGAGGGCTAGAGTGGAGAGTTGATATGAAGGGAGGGGAGATGCACATGACTGCCCATACTTGCACATAGTACCCATTTGACCTAGCTTCAATGACTGGGTGATCAGAATTCGACTAGAGGAAGAAAGAAGAGGAAAAAGAGTGTAATCCACTACAATTTGATGAACTTGACCTATACTTACGGATGTTAGTAGCTTAAAAGAGGGACGGAATCTTCACAGCAAGGATCATTCCCACCCCCACTGTACACAAGGTTGAGGGTGATAGGAACTTAGACATTGGCTACCTAAAACGGGGGTCTATAAAAGCACAAAGTGACTGGATTACAAGTATTCAAGAGGGAGTTTAGTTTCAGAGGGTGCAGGGGAAGGTAGAATCTCCACTGAGTGGTTTTCAACTTGTGTAGATGGGGCTGGTGAAAGGCGATGGGGATACGACTATTGTGGCTCAATAGTGAATATCTATTATCAGGACTGATTGTGATTGTTGCACATGTAAAGGTAGAAGGTTTGTAACAAAAAGAGGGGAGTGGTTGATCTTGCAGTACAGGAGCAGAGGACGCTGGGACCATCAGGGGAAAAGAGCGGCATGTGGACCCTACCCAGAGAAGCAGCGATGCCAGAGGTAGACAGAAAGGATGACATGGAGAGATGGATCCGCTGGGGGCGGAGAGGGGCTGTGTGCTGGTGGCTGGGGGACAGGCTTGTTGGGTATGTCCTTTGGTTGTTTGAATGTGAGTGTTTCAGTGTATATAAAAACAAACAAACAAACAAAAAACAACACAGAGGGAATAGAAGCAAATACTATTGAATGATGATGCATGGAGGGGATTGTAATCATTGCAATGCAATGAAATACGATATGATGAGTGCCACGCTGACGTTCTCCCATGTAAACTATCACTCAATTCATAATAAAACTTAAAACAAAACAAAAAAACCCTATAGATCACACCAGTCCAATCCACAATGGATCATAGGGCTGGCTCAGGACCAGGCAGCATTTGGTTCTGTTGTTCACGGGGCTGCTACGGGTTAGAGGCCAACTTGCCAGCAGCTAACACCAACTGGGGTCTGGGGGAGAAAGGGATGATACATACACTTCATCAAAGCAAATAAATAGATAAAAAAGATAGTAAAAACCCCCAAATAAACGTAAGTTATGAAAATATTGTATATATACTATTCTACTGCTGAATTCTGAAAGTGGTAGTGTTGAATTTTGTCTGGTCACATGAGTTTAAAAACTCCTTAAGAAGAAAGGTCCAGTGTAGGAAGTTCAGGGCTTACCAATAACATGAATGATGTCAACAGTTTGTGCTAGTCTCTATTAAGCTAAGGGTTGGAAGCTATAACCCACCCAGAGGCACCATGGAAGAAATGCCTATGATCGGCTTACTGTGGAGCAGTTCTACTCTGTAACACATAAGCTTGCCATGAGCCAGAATCAACTTGATGGCAATGGGGTTTTGTTTTTTTGTTCCCTGGTAATTGACAAAAATGGATCTTAAGACATTAAACCGTTCATGAATATTACACTGTTTCGAATGTTATCACCCTAACACAACCGAGCCCAGCTATGGCGCTGTAAGATAAGCACTGGACTACTAACCTCAAAGTCGGCGGTTCATACCCACTAAGTTGTGCCTCTGAAACTCTATACAGGGTTGCTATGAGTCGGAACTGACTTGACAACATTTAACAACTACAACAACATAGTCAACAAGTAGCGTTGGTGGTGCCGTGGTCAAGCAATAACCAAAAGGCTGGGAGTTCAAATCTAACAGCGACTCTGAGGTAAAATGAGGTGACAGTGTGTTTCAAGAAAGATTTACAGCCGTGGAAGCCTACTGGGGCAGTTCTACTGTGCCCCACATGGTCACGAGGGGTCAGAATTGACTCGACAGCAATTACAAAACTGACTCGATGGCAAAAACAAAACAAAGCCACAAGCTTATGTATACAACAGAAAAATATTTAGAATGGTATTTACTAGTCTCTGTTCCAGTACTGGGAGAAAGAAGAGGCTGTATGCTTCCATAAAGATTTAGGGTTTCAGAAGCCCCATGGAGCAGTTCTACTATTGGGGCTCTATGAGTTAGAATTGGCTCAACAGAAGTGGTGTGGCCCTAGTATTATGAAGAATTTAAGGCAGGGCACAAAGAATGAAGAGGATATGATCATCTTCTGACATGAGCTTAATAAATATTCAATAAACAAGGTGAAATCTAGCCACTGCTTCCCTGATCCTGTAATATTTTTTCAAAGCCTAAATAATTCTCATAGAAAGGAGCCCTGGTGGCTGTGGATTATGCATCAGCAGTTCAAACCCACTAGTCACAGGAGAAAGATGAGGCTGTCCTGTTCCCATAAATATTTAGCTCGGGAACCTATTTAGGGTTGCTATGAGTCAGAACTTATGTGATGGCAGCGGGTTTTTGGTCTCACAGAACAGCAATTCCAGGACAAAATGGCACTACAGGATAAGCACTAGACTGCTAACTGCAAGGTCAGCAGTTAAATCCACTAGTTGCTCGAGGGAGAAAGATGAGGCTTTTTGCTCCTATAAAGATTTACCATTTCAGAAACCCTATATAGGGTTTACTATGAGTCAGAATCGACTTGATGGCATTGGGTTTTGGTTTACATCTGAAAAGTAAAAATCATTGGGTACAAACATTTTGACCTATACTCTATATCATAATGTGGAGTTAATAGAACAAAATAATCTCTAAGCTAATAAAATTAACTTTTGATAATGAACTCTACAAGGTGGGTTAG